GTAGGTTGGCTCAGATAGAGGCTAACAGAGATGTTTCAGTGGCCAATTTTGAGGCTGAGCTACATCACTTGCTCACTGAGATAGAGATTTCTGGGAGGAGGCTCCAGTGACTTGAGGTCGAGAGGAAAAGATGGGAGATGGAAAGAAAACATAGGGAGATTGTGCTCGAGGTCCAGTAGGAGATTACTCAAAATTGGATCCAGAGGTACCACAATCGGACTGAATAAGTTACAAGCTTAGAGTAAAAATTGCGAGAAGAGTAGACCCAAGGTGAGGAGCATAGGACTCGGTATCAAGTAAAGAATATTGAATTCTTCTGATACAAGACAGAGTTAGAGTTGTCCTTATTCCATGGTAGAACCCAAATAAGGCATGGGGATCTTAGTGAGCTGGTCGACTCACTGCATAGCTAGTGTGATGATTTTGAAGAAGATTTGCAAATTTTCCAGGAATAGGTGACTATTTTAGAGCATAAGGTTTAGTAGGCAAATGAGGGGTGGTAGAATGCGGTTGACACATATGAGGATAGAATTGCACCAAGAAGTCATTTGGTCTCCAAGGCGCTGATACAGATGAGTGAAATAGCTCAAAATCTGGGAGAGTTGGCCATAAGGGCTAAATTTGTCGGGCCATGTTTTGATAGTCTCAGAAGGAGGTCACAGGGTCCTCACATTAGTTAGAAAGGTCGTTGATATGAGGAAGAGAGCCATGCCATACTTGTAGAGTCAGATCATCCTGTACTTAAACTTTGCTTTCCAAATTTTCGCATAAATTTTTGCATCAACATTAGATCTTGGGAGGATTTATCCAGAGTGTTTCTTGAGTAATACAAAATGTTTCCAGTATGATTCATGATCAAGTGGCTCTAATGAACTTGAAAAAGAAGCCTAACAAGACTTTTCGTCAGTATGCCTAGAGATGATGTGATATGGCTGCTCAAGTCCAACCACCTCTGATGGATAAGAAAACCACGATTCTATTCCTCCACACTCTGAAAGGCCCGTTCTTGGATCATATGTTGAGAAATGCTTCCAAAAGTTTTGCTACCATGGTACTTTTTGGAGAATTAATTATGATTGCCATCAAAAGTGGCAAGATAGAAACGGTGAGAAAAGAACATTCGAAGAGAAGAATAATGAAGTAAATGCTACGAGTACTTACAATAAGCCAAGAATATGCCGATTAATTAGTCGAGTGTTGCTATGGTGGTGTCTGATTCTAATAGGAATGAGTACCTAGGAAAGAAAAGAGAAGCCAAAAGATTAAAATTAACACTAGTACTAGAACCATATTATAAGATTTATGTCATGCTTCTAAAGGTGGACTTGGTACACCCTTATCAGTTCAAACCACTTTATCCACCTTATCCTTGGTTGTATGATGCGAACTCTCATTGCGAGTACTACACTAATGTGATGGGGCATTCGATCAAAATTTATTTTCCTTCAAGAAGATTGTACAAAATTTAATCGATATAAAGATGATAGAATTCAATTCTACCCCAGATGTGGTGAAAAACCCATTGTTGAATAATGAGGGTCAAGGAGTGAAAGCTATCCATAAGCAGAATTGAAATAGATTGAAAAGATTCATGTATGAAATTAAGTCCCCATTGAGTTGGATTTTCAAGCAGTTAATAGAGGCCAGGGTCTGATGTGTAATCAAGTTGAAAATGAAATTTTCTATGAGTTCTACCAGAGAGCGAGGCACGAGATTCAAAACTGTCTAAAGTTTAGGAGTTTAATCCAATTAATGATGAAAAATAAAGATTTTGATTTATTTGAGAAGGTTGAGTAGATGAAATAAGTGGATGTTTATATATCTGAGTATGGAGTAAGGAAACCTATTGTGATCACTGTGAGGCCAAAGATAGTGAGTCCAGGCCTAGTAAATCCTAAATTAATAATCAATACTCCAACAACATTTCTTTTCAAGGAATCCCTTGGAGCTATACCTCCTATATTTCTGTATTGAGAGAAGTCGAAATACCATCAATGTTGAAAGAAGTGAATATTAAAAAAGATAAGAAAGGAAAACCCCTTACGAAAATGATAAATCAACTAGAACATTTAATGAGAAGTGAAATATGTTATTCTCCCCTTAAAACATCGTAGGAGAATAAAAAAGTGAAACGTAGGCCCAAAGCACCACCATCTCAAAAGAATTTTAAGGAGGAACCTCTGCCAAAGAATAATGAACTGGTGACTGATAACGGATCGACACTTAACGTTATACATCTAGCAACTTTGTAAAGAATGCCGACAGTTGATTGTTATATAAAGGCATATCAAAATGTCATTTAGGCCTTTAATGGACTCAGAGGGATGTTATAGGGAAAATCGATTTCCTGTTATTGATTGGGCGTACAATTTACAACGTAGAGTTCATCGTGATGGATATAAATCAGACATATAACTATTTGTTGGGAAGAACATTAATTCATTCTGTTGGGGTAGTTCCTCATTCTCGATTGTCTAACTGCATAAATATGTCTGCGTATGAGACTCTAGGAAGAGGAGCAAAGACTAGAAAAGGTTTTAAAAAGAACCTTTAAGGAATTTTGCATCCCAAACTTGTTGTCATGAAGAGGGACTATTTGATGCTTTGATTTAAACCTAATTTTCAGCAATGTCAAAAAGAAATGAAAAGGAAATCTGATATAAGAAAAACTCAACTATAAAAAGAAGATATTTCCTGGGAGCGCATATCTTACCCTGAAAATAAGTACATTTTCATCTCTATAAGCATGTATACCACTGAAGAGTACTTGGTTAGTGCAATCCAAGAGGGGGGAACAATTGAAAGATCTAGAAATGTTTGATGAGTCCGTTGAAGGGTTGTTTATCAACATGATTTGAGAAAATATCGAGCCTAGAAGATTTATAGCTGGATTTTACCCATGTTTCCCAGGCGAGAAGCTCAACAACTGGACTATGTAGGACCTCCCTGTAGTTTTTAGGATTAACCTAGAGTAATGTTCTGAACTAACCCTTGTGCTTGTGCCCACAAGAATTAAGGGATCTTTTTATGGGTATCTGTGTTGATTTCACTCACTACTTTTCTAATAAGAGATGCTTTCATTTCATTTCGCAAATGGCAATCAGTTTTTTTCTTGCATTTTCAATCATTCAAATTCATTTTTTCACTTTTTTCGTTTCTCTTCCAAAGTATATATTCGTTTCATATTTACTTCACAGGTGTCCCAATATTAATAACATGAATGTTTCTGAAACTAATCATGAAATTGATCTAGAGTGGCTTTTATGTTTAGAAGAAATTAACAAGTGTAAAATGAGGTAGAATGTGAGGTTCGTATCGAATTATTAAGACTGGTGGAAAATAAAGAAAAATAAATCTTACCTCATGAAGAATAAATTAATATTGTTAATTTAAGGACTGATGAAGATAAGAGAGAAATGAATATTGACACTACTTTGTCACCAATAGCGAAGCAAGATTTGATAAATTTACTATAAGAATTTAGAGACATCTTTGCCTGGTGTTATCAAGATATGACAGGGTTGAATACAAACATGGTGATGCATCGAATTCTAATAAAGCCCGAATACAGGCAGGGTGTATAAGCATTTACATAATATTCAATCAATTATTATTGTTGATTATTTGGTGTATGATTAAATATTGTGAATGCTTCAGATTATACTTTATTTGTTGGTGTTTGCACTTTAGAGACACACTAAGCCTTGTAGCTTACTCCCCTTAGTTTATTCTCTCAGATTCTCGAGCTAGGTGGACAGGAACTTGTAGATTGTGTATTTATACAAATTTTATTGTTGTCAACAATATGATATTTATTCGAATTTTCCAATTCATAGTATTTTTCTTTGGAATTATTTTATTACGTTTTGTAACTTTGAACATAAACTTTGTTTTGGTACTATGAGATTAAATTTTTGGATTTGATATTCGTTGTTTATATAATCCTTATTATTTGATTATCTACACTATTGGTGACAAATAATCATGAGTATTAATTTTTAAAGTGTTTTAAAGTATTGATTTGGGTTTAAGTCGAAAATAAGACAATGGGCCTCTTGGATCCGGCTTTTACCATCTAGGTCGGGTAAAAGGGGTTACAAAATTTGTAGATGTAATATCAGTAATCTGTAACTCTAAAGCTTGTTAATGAGTTTTATATTTCTATAAGGTACGTAGGTGGCCAAGAAAGTTTTTTTTAGAGTTTTGGAACCTTCAAGTCAACAAGCTAATTTATGTTTAGACGACTTAGAAAGAATTCTAGTGTGCTTGGAGTGAGATAAAATACTTCCAACTCATATATAATATTTGTTTATCATTGTTTGTTGCTTTGCTTGCTTGTATGAGTCCATGGAACATGTTGTGTGCATATTTTCTTATAGATGGTTTGGAACAAAATTAGTGTTATTTATGCATATGAATTATGTATTACGACCCATATGATTCCTATCAGCTTTAAATATCAGCTTAGGGACTTAAATGAGAGTTTAGATCACTTTTTTTGTGTGGGAAACATGGTATTTCTAGATTTAAGTATTGATACCAAATAAAATAGTATCGATGATGTTCATATGAAGGCCAAAATCTGAGATTTTGTTGAAGTAGTATCGATAACACTTTCATTGGGTATCAAGAAAGTTCTTCAAGTATCAATATCAAGGTAATAGTATTTGTAGACACCCGTTTTTTCCGGCATATTATTATTATTATTTTATTTTATTATTAATAATAATGTTAACATTATTTATGTTATCATTTTGCAGGCCAAGGTACACCAAGCCCAAATCAGGCCCCAAGTTACAAAAGTGCACGTTAACCATGTTGATCGCCAATTTTGAACATGTTACAAGAATATTTGGATGATGAAGTCTTCTTAACATTTAATCCTCTATCTCTTATCTTTCCAACTCACTTTGAACCGTATCAATCTGATATTAGTAGCTCGATATATGCCCAGATAATTGAGGATAGTGCAGGCTAAAAATTAATACGGGATTTACAAATTCAGTCCAACAAACCTTTGTTTTCCATTCACTTGCACAATGGACACGTTGGAACAATCTAGTGGGACACTATAACAACATATTACAAGTTGAATTTAAGTGGGAGACAGTTTATGATGGAGCAATAAGGGACATCCATTCAGCAAGCATAAACATCACACAAAGAGAGGGGAGCAACACGTGGAAGACAAAACCAGTTGATCAACAATCAGCCCTCTCCCACATGTTGGTGTGATCCATGAGCAAACCAAGTCTCGACCATCAAGCTGCTAGCGTCGCACGCCAATCATGCCACCATTGAAGGCATTTTTATCACCTGCGGTCAACCCACCGAAAATCATCAACAAAAGTCAAGAAGAAAGGAGCCTAATCCCGTCTTAATCTCAACAACCAACAAGGAAATTAAAAAAAGGACAAGAGGCTTTTGGTGGAACAAATGAAATAAGAGAAGGCTCTTGGTAATTAAAGAATGGGTTATGAACGAAATGAGGGGTCATTGAGAACAGAAGGAATCACGCAAGTAGAAAATAGTACAGAGGGGTGATCACGTGGAGGAAGCAAAATCATCAAGAGCAGAGGGTATTCAAGGATAAAAAAAATGAGCAAAATCATCAAGGCTTTTCGATCTTTACCCCTTTTTTGGTTGAACTAAAGCAATTAATGTAAGTGATTCCCTGTTTTTACGAAGCAAATAACAATCAAAGAATCTTTAGAGGTATTTGTTTCACTTTGATTACTTCAATTTCCAGTATATTGTGTGAAATTAGTTAATCAAGAAGAGCAAAATACAAATGGTTAGAAGCGTTTACCTTGTTAGATGAGCAGTAGAGGGTCGCGGTGGTCGTTTTCCCTCGGTCGTGGCCTGTGTTGAATGGAGAGGAGGGAACCACCTTGAACGTTGGCTGGCTTCATTAGGCTCGATTGTGTAAGGCTTTGGGATGGCGATGGAGGCTATGGTAAGGGATGAGAGGCCGAGAGGGATGGAGAGTGGAGATGATGATGCGGCTGGGTTGTGTAGTTTATAATTAGATTAGGTTTTAGTTTACATTAGCTTTTATATTAAATCTTTTGTGTAAATTAATATTTAGCCACCGAATTTTAGGGGTAAACTTAGGTTTTAGTCCCCACAACTTTAACGCGTATTTAATTTTGGTCATTGGTCTTAATTAATTTAAATGTTTTTTTGTTTGTTATTTATATATTTGGAATGTCATTCTGAATCTTTTTATTTTAATCCTATATATGTTTGGGGTTTATCTTGGTTCCAATACTTATAACTTTGTTAAGTTGCATGTTAGTCCCATGGTATTTATATTTTATATATTTAAGCCTCATACGTAGTTGATGCTTGGTGTTGTTTATATATATATATTTTTAGTGTATTTTAATTCTAATGTTTATATGTATGCACACTTATTAATGCACACATTTGTTAGCTCTTTGTTATCATGGTTACACATGTCACTTTGAATCACCGTGTAATAATCTTTCATGCATAAATATATACACTCATTTATATCATGTCATTTTTCCTAAGTTAATACTATGTTAACTTCGGTGATTGGGTCATTATTGAATTGTCTATTATTTTGTTTTCTTTTATGATTTGTGTGTTGAGAATGGTGAATGAGTCGTATGATTAAATGACTTTAATTATATGTTTTTATGCTTTCATTCAATTAAATTGTATTATAACCTCACGTGCATAACTCGATTCATTATTACATAATTGAACTAAGGGTAATACATTTTTAATTTAAAATTGTTTTAAGTGGGTTGTCTTAACTGATTAGATATATGCTTTTGACGATTTTTAATTAAAATTATATCCCATTAGTGACACTTAAAAATTGATTCATCACTTTAAAATTTGAGAATGAAAGAAAAAGAAATATCCGGTTATTTAAAATTTTTGAGAGAAGGTAGTTAGAACTTATCTAAGATCTTGTCTCGATATTTTTAATTATTGAATATTCTTTATCTTTCTAAAGGTTAGGTAATTTTAATTTAATCTATTTTGGTGATTTTAAATATTGTAAAACTCGTATGTTTTTGTTTTGTTGGGGATATATAAATCAAATTAAAATTGGATTTGTAAATTTCATTGCAAAGACGTTAATTAATCGACTAGGTACCGATTTAGGGCGCTGTGGGGATGCTAATCCTTTCCCATGCGTAATCGACTCCCTAACTCATTTTATGGTAACACATACCTCAATTTGTTGTTTTAATTAAAATAAATTTTTTATTTAAAATGACAACATTTTTGGGTGCCCAATCACACCCTAATCAATGATTGGTGGCGACTCCTCGAACCGTATTTATTTAAGAAATCCCAAAATTTTCTAAACGAGAGGTTTTCTAAAATCACATTGTTTTTAATAAAAAAAATCAATTACAAAGAGGATAATTAAAAATTGATGCGGTTTTCAGAATCTTCCCCACTCGAAAAAAATCGTTTCGACAGCTTGGCGACTCCGCTAGGGACTTTTTAGAGAGTCAGGCCTATAATCGATTAATTGATTGTCTTTGCAATTGAACGTTATAAATTTGTTTTAATTTGGTTTTGATCCCTTATTTGGTTTTAATGTTGTTTGTTCAGAATTTGATTAACCAATAAATAGTTGTACTTATTTGGTTATTAATGGTTTTAGATTAATTACGTGTTTAAAGAGAGTTGATATTTTGAGTGTTTTGCGAATATGTGTTGTTTTATTTTTGCTTTTCCTCACACACTGCACAGTTGCATTTGCATAACATGAGCTAAAACCCTGCTCCGTCCTATTTAAGTAGGAGTGAGAGACTACTCCCTCGTGTGGTTTTCACCTCCGCATGGGATAGTGGATCGCTCATGGAGCTCACACCTTATGGTCCTCGTGATGGTAATCACCTCCATATGGACATAAGGAGGTGTGTTCCCTCGAAGTTGAACTCGATCCCTAAAGCCTGTGATGGGCTAGGATTAAGGGTTCGACAGCCCAAGGGGGCACCAACAAGGACAATTCAAGAATCTATTACTTTAGAACCGAACCCATCATATAGTGAACATAGAGCCTGAATTTAGGTCGAGCCTGACCCGAACCTTAGGAGTTCTGTGAGGAGGGTACACAAGGAAAAGTTTTTGAGTAATTTATTTTCTCTTTTTGAATAAATGTATGCGAACTACAAATCATGCAGTTAGGTTTATTTCTTGAACAAGCATGCGAATTAGATATCATGCGGTTAGAATTTTTTGTGAATAACAAAGCATGGGGGTAGGTATCATGTTGGGTAAGATCTACTAAGCATGATTGGGTAGTCAGCATGTGAGAGTAGGTTTTATTTGTTATGATACTCATTATTTTGTTGTTTATATTATGTGTACTAACCCATTTTTTGTTTTATGTCTATTTTGTTTTGGATTTATTGCATTTGCATCTTCATGTCATTCAAAGGTGTTAATTCGCAAGTGATTGACTAATAAGAAGACTGGTCATAATGAGGTAAAAAAATTTTAACCATGTAGTCAAAATCGGGAGATCTAGAGACATTCAAATGATTCATCAAGGAGATCCGAAGAATGAAGAAATTTCAACCTGATTGAAGAACGATTCATGAAGAAGGACATCAAATGAATGAAGAAATTTGAACTTGATTGAAGAACGATTCATGAAGAAGGACATCCAATGAATAGAGTTTGAAGTTGATCGAAGACATCTTTCAAAGGAGTGAAGGCCGAAGATGTTCCCTCAGGAGATAGATTTAGTAATACCAAGGACGAGAAGACCCTTCACAAAGACATGAAGACCACTTTGCATTGAAAGTGAAGATAAAGATCCCCATATTCAATTTAAGGACGTCCGACATCATCAAAGGTGATAAAATACGCTGACAATTGAGGGGTGCAATGTTAGATTCCATGAAGAGTACAGTTCAAGAAAATGAAGAAATGAAGAATCACAATTGTATTTTAATTACATGGTGTAATGAAATCTTGTTGTCTAAATGAAGGTTGTTCTATGGTGGTCACTTTTGGAATTAGCACCTTTTGCATTTGCTTTTGGCATCCACATTTGCATATGCATTACATGCATTTATTTAAGCATTTTACATGCATTAATTTTGAAAACATGGAAATAACTTATGGGAGGTTATATGACAGTAATAACAAGATCATTCATTCATATTGTTCCTCATCATGATGAACAAACAAATGGAAGGAATTGAGCAATCTAATGAGAAATCACAAGATCAGTTGCAAGAGCAGTTGGTCGGGTTACAACTAGATACGAGGAACCAAGCATCGGTTTCTCTGTAGGACGCATCGAATCAAATGATCCATGTGATGACACCACATGTTGTTGGTAAAGAGAAAGTGAAGGATAAAGGAAATTAATCTCGTCAATTATGGGCAGTTTGAGAACGAGTTTAAGCGGTTGAATGAAGCCGTTAAAATATGAAGGTCGTTAATGCCTCTCACAAGGAGTTAGAAGCCAAAGAACTCAGTTTGGTCCCTGATTTGGTCATCCCACATGAATTTAGGGTGCCTAATTTTGAGAAATGTGATGGTACTAGTTTCCCCCTAATTCATCTGAAAATGTTTTGCAGAAAGATGGAGGGGTACTTGGATGATGATGATCTGTTGATTCATTACTTCCATGATAGTCTTGCTGGCCCAGCTGTAGTTTGGTATAATCAATTGAATAGATAGCATATCAAGACATGGGTCAACCTAGCTAATGCTTTTCTGGGGTAATATCGATATGTTAAAGGCTTGGCCCCATAGCGTCATCACCTTCAAAAGATGAGAATGAAATCTATTGAGAGCTTTAAAGAATATGCCCTAAGATGGAGAGGAGTAGCAGCACAAGTTCAACCTCCTTTGTTAGAAGAAGAAATATCGTGTATGTTTCTGTAACTAAATGTCAGGATCAAAGCTCCTACAACCGCAAAAGAGAAGGGGCAATAGGTTACTCGAGTCATCCAAAGAAAGTCCCGAGATCAAAATATACTTTGAAAGTGTTCCAAACTTCTATCTCAGATTTATATCCCCATTTGGTTAAAGGTCAATACCTCACACCAAGGCCAGTGAAAGTGCAACCAGACCCTTATGCTCATAGCTATGATCAAGTTAGTGTTTATGATTTTCACTTGGGGGTATTGGGGCATTCTATGGGAAATTGTAGGCCGCTGTTAAAGGAGATAGAGATTCTTATGGAAAAGGGGACATTGACTCAGGAATTGGTGAAACAATGGATGACGAGCTCGAGTGGGGCACCAGAGCCAAATGTATAACACCCGATCGAGTTAAACGCCGCTGCATCAGAAGAATAATGGGACATCCTAATTATGCAAAAATCATTTTGTTCATCAAGAAACTTTTTGTCATTTGCAACATCTTGTTTGAACATGTTTTTGTCATTTTTCTCAACTTTTTGAAAGGATTTTCAAAATGAACTTACGTCATTTTCCAAAGGTCATGAGCAACGAATCATGTTTTAATCTTGCAATTCTTTGAATATCAAATGAGTTAAAGGTTGTTTTGCTACTTCATTAATTATATGCTTTTGACAATAGGCAAGATTAGAACTTTCATATCCCATCTAAAGCCGAAAGAACCGTTGTTGGGTTCCTTACCCAAAATAACACTGAGACTAAACATTGACATTACTTCCCCAGCCTCAATAAATCCTGGGGGCATGACGAGGACTTTTCCTGCAATAAAGATAAGATGGAGCGTAACAGATCAAGGGCATGCTAGGACCATAAAAAAGAAGAAAAAATAAAGAAAATCATTGAAATAATTCTATCATGCATTAATTTTATTATTTTCATGTAAATAAGGTTAATCTTGAATATACACGTCCCCCTGGGGATACCTCTTTTACGAAGACTTCCATGTATGAGATGATTAACGGTTTTGTTTCATTTATCCCTTCAAATATATGTATATATACCCCTTGTTGTCCCCTTTTGAGCCTATAGTATTTTTCTTCAGATTCAACCCAAACCAAGGATCACCCTC